GGACTGTTCTCTAGCACCACAACTCAAAAATACCGATTCTTAGGGGAGCTCTGGTAGCCTAGTGGCAAAAAGCTGCACTGCAATCCCAGAGGTGCATGGTTTGAATCCACCAGATGCTCTGCCAGGAAAGGAGGGACAATCTCCTCCTGTACCAGTCAGATCTGATTTGACGGTACACAGACACACAAAATAATAATAAAATAAAATTTAAAAAAAATACCGGTTCTTCTATCACCCATATAGTCATTGTCCAGCTTTCTGATGCATAGCAAGTTACTGCAAAGACCATGGCCTGGATCAGGCACAACTTAGTCTCTAGACTGACATTTTTGCTTCTAAGTACTCTGGAGAGGCCCCTGAGAAGATTTTCCCAGTGCAGTTTTGTGTTTTATTTCCTGACTGCTAGTGCCAAAAGTGTTGACTATGGATCCAAGCAAGCTGAAATTGTTAACAACTACAATCTCTTCTTCATCTGTCTTGGTGCTGCCAATTGGCCGAGTGGTGAGAAATTTTGTCTTCTTAATGTTGAGCTTCAGTCCATGTTGAAGACTATAATCCATGACATTCAGTAGCAAGCACGTATTTCCGCCTTAATTTCAGCAAGCAAGGTTATGACATCTGCATATCACAGGTTGTTGATGAGTTTTCCTCCATTCCTGATGGAAACATTCCTCCTTATAAAGCCCAGCCTCTTGAATGATATGTACAGCATATAGATTGAAAAGGTGTGGAGACAGGATGCATCCCTTACATCCTTACACCCCTTTCCTGATTTTGAACCATGCAGTGTTTCCTTGCTCTGTTTTCATGACTGTCTCCTGGTCCAAGTATGTTTCACATGAACACAAACAGTGTTCTGGTATTCCCATTCTTCTCAAGGGTAGCCACAATTTGTTGTGATCCACACAGTCAAATGCCTTTGCATAGTCAATGAAATGAAATTATAGATGTTCCTTTGATACTCTTTGCTTTTGGCCAAGATCCATCTGACATTGACAATAATGTTTCTAGTGCCATGGCACCTCTTCTAAACCTTGTATTTCTGGTAGTTCTCTGTTGATGTATTGTTCCAGTAGTTTTTGGATAATCTTCAGAAGGATTTTGCTTGCATGTGATATTAGTGGTATTGTTTGATTATTTCCATTCTTTGTTGGGTCACCTTTTTTTGGAATGGGAATATATATGAATCTTTTCCAATCAGTTGGCCAGATAATTGTCCTCCAGATTTCTTGGCATAACCTTGTGAGCGTGTCCAAGGCAGAATCTTTTTGTTGGAATATGTCAGTTGGTATTCTGTCAGTTCCTGGGGCTTTGTTTTGTTTTTGGTGTTGTTTTTTTTTTTTTTTGCCAATTCATTCAGAACAGCCTGAACTTCCTCCTTCATCACCATTAACTCTTGATCATATATTGTTTCTTAAACTTATTTTGTGTCATCCAACTTCTTTTTTTCACAGTGACTCTGTATACTCCTTGCATCTTCTTTTAGTAACAAAAATGAAAAGTAACCTAAATGTCGAAGTAGAGGTGAACTTATTACTCAAAAGCTGTAAGTCTGTGACCTGCTGCCAAAAAGCCAATGAGGAGGCAGGGATATAGGTTGGAGAACCCTGCTTACTGAAACTGAGGAGGACCTTAAAGCACTTGCTGTGGAAGATCAGGGACTGTAGTCTTCAGTATGGATTGAGACTGAATATCAAGAAAACAAAGATTCTCACCACTGGGCTGATTGG